TTAGCTGAAGGAAGTTGTTTTGCATCCACTCACTGATCTGTTGGATACAGTGAAGGAGTGAGTCCACTGGTCCATGTTCTCCTGCAGTCAGTGAGACATAGATCTGAGTGTCGTCTGCATAGTTATGATAGGAAACTTCGTTTCTGCGTATTAACTGACCTAACGGCAGCATGTAGAGATTGAACAGAAGAGGTCCCAGGATCGACCCCTGTGGTACTCCACAGGTCAGGGCCATTTGATCTGAGACACAGTTTCCAATCTTCCGGTGCCAGCGACGCCAACCCAGTCCTCTAGTCCCTGTAAGAGGATCTCATGGTCGACGGTGTCAAAGGCAGCACTTAGATCTAACAGGATTAAGATTGAGACTTGGCCTGCGTCAGTGTTCAGCCGGATATCGTTTGTAACCTTAACGAGAGCAGTCTCAGTGCTGTGGTGGGGTCTAAAGCCGGACTGAAACATATCAAATGAGTTGTTGATTATAAGAAATCTAGTAAGCTGTAGGTAGACAACTTTTTCAAGGACTTTCCCCATAAATGGCAGATTTGAGATGGGACAATAGTTGTTAAGTACAGTGGCATCCAGACTGCTCTTTTTTACCAGGGGCCTGATGACTGCCGTTTTCAGGGCCTTTGGGAATGTTCCAGAATGAAGGGACATACTACTGTATATATACCCACTGTCCCATTGTCTGTGCTATGGCGTGATGATGGGACCCCTGAACCCTGCCTCCTCCATCAGCATCTGTCTTCCTCAGCCCGGACTCATGGGCTATGTGTTTTTAGGCCCGAGCCCCGAACGGGGAAAGGGCCTATTGTTTTTGCTCGAGAGATGTCAAATTCTGCACTTTGAGCCTTAATTTCACCCCATGCATGAAAAGTTGAAAAATTTTGCCCAAACATCAGACCTGGTGAAAAATTTGATATTTGGGTGTTTATTTTTATGGGACTCAAAAAATGCCAGAACAGCGCCACCTACAACAGCCAATGGGAGTTTCAGAGGTCAAGTTTGTCGTAGAGCCATGAAATTCGGTACACATGTTCCTCAAGTCAAGATACGACCAAAATGTTATCATGGCCCCGCCCTCTGACAAACAGGAGAACCATAAATTTCACTGCAAAATGGAAAAATGATCCGCAATCATTTTCATACATGTCGGTTGGAAAGCGACTCCTCCTCGGCCGTTTCACCGATTGGCCTCCATATCACTCCACATTGTCTAAACACATGTACCATCAAAACGACCTCAGGGATTTTTGATCAGTGAAACGTTGTTTGAGCAGCGGAGCGGCAAAATGTGAGTGTTTTTTGACCGTTTTTCACAACATTAATTTTGCTCCCGTTTGCACAAACAAAGTCTGATTTGCACAAAACTTGAATCCAATGTTCAACTCCAGGGTTTAGGTCAGGTAAAAGTGAAATATTTGAAATTGGCTCAATAGCGCCTCCTACAGATTCTATGGCAACAGCAACAAATCATCACACGGCGGCCCCACCTTCGTTGCACGGTGTGGTGCGGCATAGTGCGGGGGGTTGTGGAGCGGCGCGTTGCGTCTTGGTGCGGGGCGGCTTGATGCATGGCGGCTTGGTGCGGGGCGGCTTGGTGCGGGGCGGCTCGGTGCGGGGCGGCTTGATGCGGGGTGGCTTAATTCGGTGCGGCTTGATGCGGGGCGGCTTGGTGCTGGGCGGCTTGGTGCGGGGTGGTGCGCGCGGTGCGGGCCGTTCGACGCCGCTTGCGGCTTTAATTTATCATTGCATTTATTGTGTTTGAACAGTTTGATTCGCTGATCTGTGTTGGCGGATTCAACAGTTTTGTAAAGTCCTCCAAGATTACTACTGTTGTAATTGATCTCAAAGCCGTAGATAATGTGAGGATAATTCTCTGAGGACGCTGGAGTTAGATGTCCTCCAAACCTGTCTTGTCAGAGGCTGGGTCAGAATCCCAGCAAATTACTGTGAGTAAGTTTAACTACCTCTCCCAACATTGTGGCATTTAGCAAATAGAACTAATGTTGGCATAAAAACCTAGCGGTTACGTGGTGAAAACAGAAGGACCTAAAATGCAAGACAGCCCAAAAGATAAAGATTAATTAAACAAAACACAAAAATAACAAAATCTGGAACAAAACAGAACTTCAAACTCAAGCCATGACAGAACAGAAACAAAAACACAATGGACCAACAACAAGGGGAGCTGAGCACAGGGTTTAAATACCCACAGGGACAGACATGAAGGTGGGACAAGAAATCAACTGAACCAATTTATCAAAATAAAACCAGGTCAAAGTAATCAAAAAGTTCACACCATGACAATAACTGGAGTGAGGCCAAATGGAAGATGAGCGATGAATGACAAGGAACGGTCATTGATGAGCCACATGACTTTATCACTATTTACTTCCTCCACCAGAGAATACATGAAAACCACAGTAACCGGTTTGCTCTTGGGTGAAACATGTGAAATGTACAGATAGACTATGTCAGTTGGAAAAGGATATGCAAACTATAAAAGGTGTTTAAAGGTGATGACATCATGTTTTGGTCTGATTTGTTCAAAACACTTTACTTAATCATGATCTTTCTGTTGGAACAAACACAATTACTATGAAAAGAGATTCACACAATTTCCTTGGTGCTGTAGCCTGGGCTCGCCTAGCCGTGGCTGCTCCTGTCTCTCCTTCGTTCGGACACGGTCTCTACATTCAAGGCTATAGGTTTAAAACAGTCGTCTTTAGTTTGGCATATGGTTTAGAAGGAAAGACTCAGGGAAGATTTAAAAATTTAGATTGTCAGACAAGCTAGAGCCAGTTTTCTGGGTAAGTATTGTAACATGAGCACTATCTTCTTCTTCCTACTTTATCTGTCTCCATTATTTGGATTTGGACTGTCGTCTGCTCATTGCTCAATGTGGATCTCCCCAAGGTTTCTCACTTTTCTCCACTGGGTTTTAGAGTTTTTCCTTGCCGATGCAGGAGGGTCTGTTGGCCAGTTAGTTAAAAAGGACAGTGGTGATGATCCAGGACACTGTAACATTCAACATCATGTATGGACATTTATCAACATTCATGGACATTGGTCTTTCCCTATGGACAAATTCATATGTGTATTGTTTGTGTCTTAACTGTTGATTCTCTGGTCTGTGTTGGTGATACAAGAATACATTGTATTGTGGTTAATTCTGCAGATACATATTACCACAAATAACTTGGTTACTATAGACTTCAATTAGTACAAGTAGATAGATGGTTGTGAAAAGTAACAGGTTATACTCCCGATGATGTGTCAAGGACTTCCTTTCTGAACCCATAACATAGTGTCTTGTAAGTAATGTTTATTTATATAGCATATTTTACAGACCAAGGTTACCCAAAGCGGATTACAATTGTTGAGATTTCAGATTTTTGTCCATTCTCTCCACACACGAGACACGAGACACTGGGAGAACATGCAAACTCCCTACAGAAAGGCCTGCGGTGGAATCCAACACATGACCTTCTTGCTGTGAGGCACAAGTATAGTCTATAAGAGTGATTGGTGTCATAGGGTCATCTAGTAAGTAAGTAATCTCTATTTATTTAGTAACTTTCACAGACCAGGAACAGCCAGTCATAAAGTGCTTTACAATTGTTTTGGGTAAATGTCCTCTCACTGAGATGGGTCAGGGCTCATGCCAGTCCTATTATAAATGTTTTTTTATAGGGGATGCTGGAGTCCCCAGAGGAAACGTCTGCAGACACAGGGAGAACAACCAAATTCCATGCAGATTATCCTGGATTTGGATTTTGACATATCCTTCTTAATTCACAACATGGCTGATCACTGCGCAATGAATTGAGCTGATATGACTATCATTTTGTGGAGTACGGACGGCACAGCTCCTCATGGGTCAGCCAAACTGTTCTTGCCCAGACAAATTTTAGCAAGTAAATTAGTGACCAACTGCTCTGGGCATGTGCAGGTTTTGAGGATACACAATTATAGTCCAATTGGATTCACTAAAGAGTGGTGTTAATGTTCTACACGTTTCATTCAAGTACAGTTTAATAAATAATAAGCAAGAGTTAATAAATATTTTTCCGTATAGATTAAGTTGTAATTTACCCCAACTTTAATGTAATGTATTTCATTCTGACCCTATGGAAACACATGTGACATTTCAATTTGGAGAGACGTGAAACAAGAAGCTTTTGAGTATTTATTGGGAGGAGGTTTGGCGCCCTAGGCCCCGGTGCGGCCTTCAGATCGGAGGGGCTCTGCGATGGAGCATGCCAATCCCCCGGGACCTAGGCACTGGTGGCGGCATTTGGCAGCGGGAAGCAGATTGAAGGCAGAATGAAGCAGGGTGAAGAGGAGGAGGAGGGGAGGCGGTGGCTGCAGCTTCAAGAGGCCGAGAATGGGAGTTCCTCCGCTTTTAAGCAGCTTGCCTGGCTGGACCGGTGATTGGAAGGGGGCGTTTGCCGTGCGATAGGCTGGGGATGAGAACCGGCCTGGAGGGGTTACCTTTGGCTGACGTCTACCAAATTGAACTTACGCTGGCTGCATTTCAATTTGGAGAGACGTGAAACAAGAAGCTTTTGAGTATTTATTGGGAGGAGGTTTGGCGCCCTAGGCCCCGGTGCGGCCTTCAGATCGGAGGGGCTCTGCGATGGAGCATGCCAATCCCCAAAAAGGTTGTGAGTTGATGGAGTTTTGCAGCCTGGTTTGAAGGGGACAGACGTCGAGACTACTCTATGCTGTGACCGCTATCACTATATGCTGTGACCGCTATCGCTATATACTGTGACCGCTATCGCTATATACTGTGACCGCTATCGCTATATACTGTGACCGCTATCGCTATATACTGTGACCGCTATCGCTATATGCTGACGAGTCGCGACCATCGCGCGCTAACCATTTTTTGCTATATACTGTGACCGCTAACCATTTTTTGCTATATACTGTGACCGCTAACCATTTTGCTATATACTGTGACCGCTATCGCTATATACTGTGACCGCTATCTATTGTGACCAAACTTGCGGATCCTCATCCGAGCAGTCTCTGCCGAGCAGTCTCTGCCGAGCAGTCTCTGCCGAGCAGTCTCTGCCGAGCAGTCTCTGCCGAGCAGTCTCTGCCGAGCAGTCTCTGCCGAGCAGTCTCTGCCGAGCAGTCTCTGCCGAGCAGTCTCTGCCGAACAGTCTCTGCCGAACAGTCTCTGCCGAACAGTCTCTGCCGAACAGTCTCTGCCGAACAGTCTCTGCCGAACAGTCTCTGCCGAACAGTCTCTGCCGAACAATCTCTGCCGAACAGTCTCTGCGGGCGACCATTGCTTGCGGATACTCAGCTGCTGCGACCATTGCTTGCGGATACTCAGCTGCTGCGACCATTGCTTGCGGATACTCAGCTGCTGCGACCATTGCTTGCGGATACTCAGCTGCTGCGACCATGCTTGCGGATACTCAGCTGCTGCCGCCACCAGGAAGTTTGCAAGTGTTTTATGGAGATGCAAAGAGGCGCTGGGCTGCCAGGATGGTCGAAGTGTCAGGCCTGATGTATGAGGAGAGGGCCGATGATGACCAGCGGCCCAGCTGCTGGAGGGCGGAATAGGGGAGCCCAAGGGACGCGGCGCGCGTGGCGGCGCCTATCCGAAGGAGTGGGCTGTGTAGAGATGGGGAGACAGGTTACAAGCAGCAGTACGGACTTGAGTTGGGCTCTGAAACAGACGGATGACATTGGAAGGTTATCGGGAGCGCGGAGGAGATGCTTTGAGGGAAGGCGTCGGGCCAGGGCCCGGCGAACCACTGGACCTGGAAGAGACCCCCAAAACCCACGGACGGGGCTGCGTCCGTGAAGAACCGCAGGGCATCTGAGGACGGGATGACGTCACTGTAAAAAAAAATACACCGTCCCAGCGGCTCTGCAGACGGGACCCGAATGCCAGGTCGGAGCGGCACCCCGCGTCCGGGCAGACAGCGTCGTTGAGGGAGGAGACGGAGCCAGATACAAGCAGTTCCATATACAAGCAGTTCCATATACAAGCAGTTCCATATATATACAGTTCCAATATGAGCAGTTCCAATATGAGCAGTTCCAATATGAGCAGTTCCAATATGAGCAGTTCCAATATGAGCAGTTCCAATATGAGCAGTTCCAATATGAGCAGTTCCAATATGAGCAGTTCCATATATTAGCAGTTCCATATATTAGCAGTTCCATATATTAGTTCCATATATTAGCAGTTCCATATATTAGCAGTTCCATATATTAGCAGTTCCATATATTAGCAGTTCCATATATTAGCAGATCCATATATTAGCAGATCCATATATTAGCAGTTCCATATATTAGCAGATCCATATATTAGCAGTTCCATATATTAGCAGTTCCATATATTGGCAGTTCCATATATTAGCAGATCCATGTATAAGCAGTTCCGTATATAAGCAGATCCATATAAGCAGGTCCAGATATAAGCAGAACCAATATATGCAGTTCCATGCACTGTATAAGCGGTTCCAGGTATAAGCAGTACCATATAATCAGTTCCAGGTATGAGCAGTCCCAATATGAGCAGTTCCATAAAAGCAGTTCCATAATACATAAGCAGTTCCGTAATACATAAGCAGTTCCGTAATACATAAGCAGTTCCATAATACGTAAGCAGTTCCACAATACGTAAGCAGTTCCATAATACGTAAGCAGTTCCAGATATAAGCAGTTCCGTGAGGGATTAAACTGAGAGCTCGCAGTCCAATTTGAGGGATTAAACGGAGCTTGCAGTCAGAGTGAAGGATTTAAACGGAGCTTGGTTAAAGAGAGCCTGCAGACCAATGCGAGGGCTTTAAACTGATGCTTGCCCACCAATGCACGGGGCCAACTGAGCCTGCATTACAAGCGCGGGGCCAACTGAGCCTGTAGGACAATGCGAGGGGAATAAACCGTCCGCAGATCTCATACTTACCCACGCGCCAGAAGACAAGGGACAACACAACGGGACCAGACCGTATCGGCACGAGGAGGCAGGGATGCGCACGGCTCCCACCGCACCGGTCCAGACTGGCCGTATGCAGCAGCAGGCCGCGACGAGACGAGCAGCGGCAAACCCGCAGAAAGAGCCCGCAAAGGAGGAGAGCGGCAAAGACCCACGGACCACAGCACGAGACCCGCAGCAGGTGCAGCGACGCGGAGGAGGAGCAGACGACACGCAGCAGGACAGAGGACAGCAGGGACACGCACGAAGTAAGTGAGAGTAGAACAAAGCGATTCCTCCAGAACGACTCTTTGCAAGGCTTCGCTCTTTGCTGCAGCTTCCTGCAGCTTCAAGAGGCCGAGAATGGGAGTTCCTCCGCTTTTAAGCAGCTTGCCTGGCTGGACCGGTGATTGGAAGGGGGCGTTTGCCGTGCGATAGGCTGGGGATGAGAACCGGCCTGGAGGGGTTACCTTTGGCTGACGTCTACCAAATTGAACTTACGCTGGCTGCATGTGGCTGTCTGAATGCTGTCATGTTGAATGGATACTTTTCAGTCCATGCTTTCCTTTTGAAATGAAAACGCTGCTTTTTAAAGAGTAAATGTTAAGCTTCTCACAAATTTGTCCCTAATGGTTTTGCAAATTTAAAGACAGCATCTCGAGACACTTTTGTCCCGGGGGATGACCACCCCAAACTCTGAACACAACAGAGGAGCTTCCCAAAGCCAAACACATCTGCCGTCTCTCACAACATGCAAACTTCGCCCGCTTTACCGCGCGTCTGCGTCTACACGACACCATCATCCTCCTCCTCATCATCATCAGCAACAGCAGCAGCCAGATCACATGACTGATGCTCCGCTGCCTCCTCCAGGAATTAAACAGCGCAACAAAGCCTCTGCAACCTGCACCAACACTTTGACAGCGAGAGGTTTTGTTATAATCCCATTTTAAAAGTTAAAACAACTATAGATGATATGAGATATAATAGGAATAGATTATCATGATGGGAATATATGATTATTATGTGTAAATGGTCAGATTCTAGATTTGAAAGGCAATGGAGCTATAGTTATTGTTCATCTCAATACAAGTTTAACGGAAGAACAATACGTCTTCAAGTTTATTTTAAAACGCTTCCAGTGTGTTTTATAATCATTGTGTTTGTTCCAACAGAAAATGTGTAAACGTCATACCAACACATGCATTCAACTTATTAGAAAACATTTTATATTTCAAAACTGATTAGCTTGTAACAAATCTGTTGCTGTCCAGTCTGCGCAAATAAAAAATATGAATAAAGGACGTTAGAAAGATATCTTTATATATTTGTTTATCTAGTTTAGTGCCGTACAAAAAAGTGTAAAGCTTGAGAAAATCCTTTCACATTTTTGGTCAATTGAAAACATGTTGAAGACTGTAGCCTGAGTAACTTCATTTTAACGTATGTGCTTACAAAATACTATAGTTTCCCTTAATACAGGGAGTGGATATGAAGTGGTTTATTTTACCTCGCTTTTAGATGTGAAGGGGCTTATTCTTTTTTCTGAATTAAAACAATAAAAACATTCTTACATGAAAAGCATTAAGTATGATCATCATGTTACCAGCAGTTATGTGTATTTTTACGTCCAAGCATTTCATTTAATTTTGATTACATTTATGTGTGTGTAGCCCCATTACACATTCGTCTCCGAGGTCTTTAGAAAGTTGTCGATTCTTTGTCAAGGAAACAAAAAACCACAAACACATAAGAGACATTGGTACATAGAGAGCGGGATGATCAAAGGCCTTAAATAATAACAAAAGTCCTGAAATGTCCATAAATATTCATAAAATACACAAAGTTTGCAACCCAAAAGCATATAGCGCATTGTCAAACTGTTCCATGGCTGTGCGTAAAATGTGAAAAGCGTTGTTCCAAAGCCATAAAACCTGAATCCATGTAAAATCTGAATATCTACATTTCTATTGCAATCTACCAGCGTCTCTGCAGCGTGGCTTTACTTGGAGACGTCATAGGAGGGACACGCGTAATGTTGGTGCGTAATTTAACCAATGCAATCAGACGAAAACATGTCTAGAAAAAGCATTTGCAAACCATGACAAGCTTATACCAAGCTAAAAGCCAAGCCACACCAGACAACACATCTGGTGAGGCTGTTTTTGTTGTGTGTGTGTGATTCGAATTGCATAAGTATAGTATAGGAGTGCGTCATTAACCGAGTCCGACCAATAAGAGCCGCCCACAGCCTCTTTCCTTTTATACGCGTGCACCAAACAACGCGACGCCTTCATAATTAAGAATGCAACAATAAGTCGTGTACATTTACAAACACCTGCACTACAGATTAATTGTATTTATTGGAAGAAGCTAAAACTGAAGCTGGAATGACGCGCGTTCTCGTTGGTGCTTCATCTTTCTGCTCAATTCCTCTTAACACTGTGGCATATCGCAAAAAGAAATTATTTTGTGATTTCTAAAAATCACAAAATAATTCTCGGATTGATCTCTCGGATTGGTCTTTACAGGGAAAATTAAACGGTTCTCCTGCGCTTTCAACCGCCAAAAATGGATCCAGACTAAATGGAAGTCCCCTCACTCGCTGTATCATAAACAGTGAGTTTTGAAGGCTGTAGACATTGTGGGCTGTCTATGGCTCGCATCCATAACGAGGGAGGCAACTGCCGGGTGGAAACTCAAGTTAACATCAGCCCCTCCATCCTTTCTCCGCCAGCTCCAAAAAAGTGAAGAATTCAACAACAAATTCCTATAAATGTTGTGTTCCTGTTTTTTTATGTTTCATGATCCCTCAATATCTGTATTTCTATGTGTTCCCATGTTTGGTTGCCGCACTCTATGTTTTTTGTAATCACTTTTTGTATGTCTATTTTCACTTAATAAAAAAAATAAAAAAACATATATTATTCAACAACAAGTCTAACATTTATTAATTATTAAGAAGACTCATTTCGTTCGTACACAAGATGTATTATTGAAAAAAGAACTGTTTGGAGTGAGTGGATTTGGACGCACGCAGCCTCGACACACACACACACACACACCCACAGGCTACTGGCGGGATTTTTTTTTGTTTTTTGTTTTTTGAATATTGTATTTCCATTGTGTTGGCTTATCAGGGGCACGAGAACAGCACGAGCCAGGCGCACAAAGGGACCAGATGGCCGAGCTGCATGCAGGGAATTATTCCCGAACTTACATGGACACAGGGCCATGAAGCGAGGTCCGCTGGGAAATGACCATAACGAGGGGTACACTCAAAAAAAATAACTTGTTAAATGGACTCAAAAAAATAACAAAAAAAAAAAAAAAATAAAAAAAAAAAAAAAAAAAAGAAAAAAAAAAAAAAAAAAATAATAAATAAAAAAAATTGGGGGGGGGGGGGGGGGGGGTGGGGTGTTTGGTTTTTGTGGTGTTGTTTTTTATTTTTGTTTTTTTTTTTTTTTTTTTGTTATTATTTTTTTTTGTTAATAATTTTTTTTGTTTTGGACATAATAAAAAAAAAAAATAACTTGTTAAATGGACATAATAAAATTATGGACATAATTTCCACCCAAAGAAAATGAGTTTCTATAGCAATAATTAATTATGTCGGCTTGACAACATGTAAAGATGTCAGATTAACATGATGTAATTTAGTTTGTGTAACATCATAACTTTGGTTTGATCCAACAATAACAACTTGTTAGGTGAACATGTACATTTTGTGTTGATTTAGCAAGTAATAGTTATGATGACTGCACCAGATGACATGGTGTTGGGTCAACATGAAATATAAAAGTGTGCATAACAAATCCATGGTTAAAAAACAATGTGGGAGGTGAACCGATTTCATTGTGGTGTTCCACCAGAGCAAATTTTCCCATGTGTGGATACAACAAAGCCATCAAAGTATTGCAAAATCCAATGTCAACGTATTACCCATTACTGGTGTCAGGATAAGGGATGGAATAAGCAAACGTTTCTCGTTCAACAAGTTTTATTTAAAACTGTACAATTTTTTAAACATGTAAAACTTTATAGAATACAATTTTGAGCATATGTTGTACATTATAAAACAAGTACAACTTATTAATTTAGATATATAACTTAAAAGAAAAACAAGTTGAAATTAGGTGCTCCCCATTATGCCGTATATCTTTAGCAAAAACATTTATGTAGTGGTACTCAATACAAGCATTCACCAACTGTGATTCTATACATTTGAACTGATTCTGTTGTAAAAGTGAATTTCATGCAGAAAACTACCTGAAACACTCAAAACAGGCCAGAAACAACATACTGGCACTAAACAACTGTGATTCTATGTATTTGACTCACAAAACTTAGAACACGGAATTCAAAAATAGAATACAAGTATTAATCCATGAGGGATGATAAATGTCCATTAATATTAAAGCACCCACCACCAAGAGGTGTCCACTTGCAACAGTAATGCGGGTGAATGAGTGCCTATGTTGACTAACGTGCAAGCTGAGTTTTCAGAGCTTGGATTGGTCTATTTCCATCTAGCTCCATTATTAGCTTTTGAATAGCCTCAAATGTGTATTTCAACTTGGGCGGGTAACTAAGGTTTACTGAATAAACAAGAGCCAGTAACATGGCCACAGCAAGTGGCATGTTCTGCAGGTCAGTCAAAACTTCCACACCTTCTATGATGATGCCCACACATTCTGGCTCTTCGTCCCAGTGTTGTTCTTTGCGGATTACAAAGATTCCCACCGTCGTCTCGAGCATGGCACTGGCACTGTCTTCACAGTTCTACAAAGAATACAAACATGAATCATACGAGACGGGTATAAGGAGAGGGGGGTGGGGTGTAAGACGAGGGGGAGACGGACGTAAGGAGGGGGGAGACGGACGTAAAGAGGGGGGAGACGGACGTAAAGAGGGGGGAGACGGACGTAAAGAGGGGGGAGACGGACGTAAAGAGGGGGGAGACGGACGTAAAGAGGGGGGAGACGGACGTAAAGAGGGGGGAGACGGACGTAAAGAGGGGGGAGACGGACGTAAAGAGGGGGGAGACGGACGTAAAGAGGGGGGAGACGGACGTAAAGAGGGGGGAGACGGACGTAAAGAGGGGGGAGACGGACGTAAAGAGGGGGGAGACGGACGTAAAGAGGGGGGAGACGGACGTAAAGAGGGGGGAGACGGACGTAAAGAGGGGGGAGACGGACGTAAAGAGGGGGGGACGGTGTAAGGAGGGGGGACGGTGTAAGGAGGGGGGAGACTGTGTAAGGAGGGGGGAGACTGTAAGGAGGGGGGACGGTGTAAGGAGGGGGGAGACGGTGTAAGAAGGGGGGAGACGGTGTAAGAAGGGGGAGACGGTGTAAGGAGGGGGGAGACGGTGTAAGGAGGGGGGAGACGGTGTAAGGAGGGGGGAGACGGTGTAAGGAGGGGGGAGACGGTGTAAAGGGGGGGGACGGGTGTAAAGGGGGGAGACGGGTGTAAAGGGGGGAGACGGGTGTAAAGGGGGGAGACGGGTGTAAAGGGGGGAGACGGGTGTAAAGGGGGGAGACGGGTGTAAAGGGGGGAGACGGGTGTAAAGGGGGGAGACGGGTGTAAAGGGGGGAGACGGGTGTAAAGGGGGGAGACGGGCGTAAAGAGGGGGGAGACGGGCGTAAAGAGGGGGGAGACGGGCGTAAAGAGGGGGGAGACGGGCGTAAAGAGGGGGGAGACGGGCGTAAAGAGGGGGGAGACGGGCGTAAAGAGGGGGAGACAGTGTAAGGAGGGGGGAGACTGGTGTAAGGAGGGGGGAGACTGACGTAAAGAGGGGGGAGACGGACGTAAAGAGTGGGGAGACGAGTGAAAGGACTGGGAGACTGGTGTAAGGCGGGGGGACAGAAGACAGGTGAAAAGACGGAGACACGGGTGTAAGGAGGGACAGGGGTGTAAGGAGGGGGCGCTGGGTGCAAGGAGGGGGGAGGCGGGAGTGAGGTGGAGACGGGTGTAAGAAGAGGGGGAGACTGGAGTAAGGGGTAGGGAGACAGGAGTAAGGCGGGGGAGGTGGGAGTAAGGAGGGGGGAGGCACACGGGTGTGAAGGGGAGGGACACAGGGGTGTGAGAGAGGGATACGAGTGTAAGGAGGGGGTAGGCAGGTGTTATACGGGTAAAGAATGGGCCCATGCATAAACCAAAACTTAAATTACCAAGTATTCCTTCACAAGGTCGTGTGGCTCTTCGTTCAGGTAAAGGCAAAGGGCTTTGAGTAGGCACTCTCTCTTGACATCAATGGAGTCAGTCTGAGAGTAGATAAAAAACACAAGACACAAAGTGAATAACGTTAAACTGTGGGTAAATAACAAGTCAGAAACACTGAATGAGGCTTTTAATTAAACAATCCGTTACTGGTAGCACTTTTTCTCAACATAATCATACCTTGGTTAGGGGTACTAGGATGTTCTGTATTTTTTTCCCTTGAGCGCCTCCTTTACTTGCAAACACCCTCATCAGGTTGGAAGATTGACCATCAAGCTCAGAGAAAAACTTTGCCTGAAGACTGATGGTGGTAATCCTTTTGAACTCAGATGATAGCTGAAATGAAAAAATATATAAACAAAAACAAATATGGCTAAACTGGAATGGAAAAAACTAGTTTAACAAAATAAAGATATATTGTAAAAACAGAAAAAATGTGGATTGTAGCTACCTACCTCTCGTATAGAGAACAGAGCTGGCCATCTACTTTTGAAATTGGGAATCAGCGGTGCATCCCGAATAACTTCCTGCCTTCTGAGCGCGAACGTTTTCTCCATCAGTACAGTCACTGTATTGTTGTTGTCCCTCTTACTTGCTTCTAGGATTAGATTTTCTCTGATTTTTTCCAGCGTCTCTGCAGAGTCTCCAGCTGGGTATGATGGGAAGTAGTTTACTTCTGCTTTCCGCGGTTTCTTGACCCCATAAGCAGGAGTGCATTTATCTGCCGGTTTGTTCGTCAGGGAATTCAGTTCAACTTCTGGGCATCCAACCTGCTTCAGCTTGCGCCTGTAGTTTGCAAGCTTGTACTTCAGGCTCACTTTCCATCCACTATAGCCAGAGGAGGAGCCTGGCTCTTTCAGACACGGATGGGATGCGACCAGGGCTTCAGCGACATCTTCAAACTCTCGGTCTGATGGGTAGACTTTGTATCTGACTATGGCTTGGGACAAACCATCTAAAATGGCTGTTTTCAGTCCAACATCTGGATTCAATAAAGTTCCAGTATCTTTATAATTTGCATTGGCTTTGTCAAGCTGCAACTCACAATCATATGGAAACTGGGGCATTGTAAAAACAACAGGCCATCTAGATGCCCGTACAGGTGTGGAGTCAGGAGAGGACAACAAATCTCTGTCAGAGTCATAGCTCCTGGGACTCAATGTTTGAGCAGAGGTTGTGGCTTGAGGGGTTGAGTAGCCACTAGGCAAGTCAGAAACTGCTGTATCAAAGATGAGCTTCAGGGTACCTTTGTCCTGGATTTCAGAAACCGAGGTCAAGTTGGTAAACTCGTTGCCAAATTCAACATCGAGGAATTGCAGCCGGAAGGAGGCCTCTAAACCACACTGCCTCTTGATGTGATGAATAATGTCATCAATTGTGTCTGGTATTCCATGCTCTAGGTGAAGTCTTTGAGAGTCATTTTCGCCAAGCACAATTCGGAGTTTTACTGGAGGAGCCATGGCCAACCTATAATGAAAAAGCAAAACATTAAATAAACAGTAATTGGCGTCACCTTTAAGTATTGTGTGAAGTGAATCTACGGTCTTAATTATTCTCAAAATGAGTCACATTTGCATATTGATGGACAAAAATCAACATGGATCCACATATGTCCATAGCTTACACACACAAGTACCTCTTCAAGCTCACCATGGTCACTGATCCAACCAAGTAGTCTGACAGGGGGTAGTCATCTGCAAGGTCACTAAGCTCAACTAGATCTACATCCTTGGTTGGACATGCTGTGAGCTCAAATGCCCTGTGGTGCTCATTGTACCAGCCGCATAGTCTTTTGACTATAAAAAAAAGTCTCTCGTGAATGACTAACATGTGGACAATCCGACCAAAATCTGGAAGTCCACCAGTGGACCCATGAACTACAATCATCCCCTTCTTGAAACATACACCTTTTGTTGTCACAGATGAAGTCATGTGCACCTCACTAACACCAGGAAGTTTCTGCTCAATCTTTTCGACAATGTCCTTGTTCAAAACACCCACTGGAACTGTTGAGGCCTTTGTCATTTCCAGCACAGGCTTTTTAATGTTTGATGCCCTCATGTGATAGGCTATCATGAGCTGATGCTTGCAAGCTAGCGAGAGGGGCACATTCTTGAAGCAATTTGAGTGTCGAATGACCTGTTTAAAAAAACTATGTTTTGCCTCAAATCGCATTGTCCAAACACCAACCAGAGGACCAAACTTCCTGATGAGTGCAGGAAAGTGCTCGACGTAATGATGCTTTGGCAGAAGTTGCACGTTGGGAAAGAGCTCTTGGTATCGTTTCCGGTGCTCGGAAATTTTGCACTCAAGGTAGGCAACAGACTCCCCTGTGTGTATTGGAGCAACAAGAAGCTCTACAACATCTTTCAATACCATAAGTAGTTGCCATGCCCTCTCATCTTCAGGTATGAGATGCCCTATGATGAAAGGAAGCAATCTTATCAGGGCCCAATTCTCATGTGCATTTCCACCAATTGTTTTAGAAAATGTGCGTGGAATCATTGACGGCTTGTTAGTCTTGTCGGACCACTTGTATGGAAAAGTAAGAATAGACTTGTTTAGATCCTCTAAACTGAAGTATTTCTTGGAAATGAGCAGTGAAAAACATTGAGCCAGTTCCACAGGCACAATGCCCTCAAAAACATCATGCATGATATCTGGTGGATACCCCGTCACAACGTTAAAGTGGTTGAGATGTTTAGAAATGGCGCACTTTCTTTTCACCCCAAAACAGCTCGAACCGCTTTGCTCTGCAGATTCAATATGCAAGTCATGCAGTTCTTTTGTCCTCTGATCAAATGCACCCGATCTAACATCTTTTATTTGGATTTCTGCTCTAGTCGCAGTGCAGAATCGACAGATGTGTCCAGCACTAAAACTCTCATTGAACCCTGCAATACCATGGGCACCAAGGTTATCTGCCGCCACAACTTGAATAGTTCCTTTGAGACTTTCGCCGAGCAATGGAACAAAGATGCCATCCTGCTCCAGGACTTTAACATCTTGAAGAAGAGGACGCAATACAGAGTCATAACCATATGTTTTAACGTCATCTGATTTGCACAAGACTGCCAGGTAAATGGAAGAAAGCACCGAATGTGAGCCTGGAGGCAAATTACCAAGAGTCCAGTATATTCCACACAGTTTGTGTTTTCGGCGGGAAGTACCCAGAGGATTACAAACCTCAAAATCGTCAATGTACAATGTTATCAAGACCCGCAAGTCACCAGCTGAGAAAAAACTCTTCTCCTTAAAGATAGAGCCATCCTGAAAGGATTTGTAAGTCTGCTGTTCACCAGTTAGACCTATCCCATGATTGTCATGCATCCTGTAGTTCACAACTTCACCAACAACATCATTTCTTTTTAATAGCTCTTGCAAGCTCTTCAGTATAGGGACATACTGGAAGCTTTTTTTTATCCTTTCATCAAGAATGTATTCAACTGGCTCTATTACATTGAAGTTCTCTTTGTAAAACTTGTTTCGAAGATATGAAGTCCTTAAAGAGCCACCATTATCTATAGCCTTCAGCAAAGGGTGAGATGTAGAAAGGGTTTTGGCCACTTCCTCCATTACTGATTTAGGGGGTGTGAAACCACTTTTCTGTAACACATTTTCAATTATGTTTACTGAAATCGGAAATGTGGCTGCGCACAACAAGTAGTGCAGCTCATCTAAAAACTCGTCCATTTTTGTACCAGGCACATGAGCTAAATGTTCTAACTTCAACAATGCTGCTGCAAAGTTCTGCTCGATGTCAGACAGGGTCTTGCTCACATCCATATCACTACTGGAACCAGCACTGTTTGATGCAACTGCATCTGGGCTTAAGGTCTCCTCTACTGAATCCTCAGTTGAATATTGCACCGAAGTGTTTGTTACTATACCAGTTTTAAAATCATCAATTGTATGGGGGTTGTGCCTCCTGTTTTTATGAGAGTGAAAAGTCCCATAAACATTTGTTTTAAATGTGCAGTCCCTAAAGACACAGGTAACCGTTTCATGGCCCTTAAAATGAATGCCAATGTGTGTAAAAAAGTCTCTCTCTGTACCAAGACTGTTGCATTCACACAATGGACATTTAAATGCACTCCGTTCGTTGGCTTTCTGAGATTGTTTGGGGTGTATTCTACTCAAATGGAGGTGCAAAGCATTAAATGATTTAAAATTGCAAGGACAGTTCAGGTGGGGGCATGATAATCGATGTCTGTGGCGGTGTTTTAATCTGATATGTTTTAGTAGATCAAATCTACTAGAAAATATATCACTACAATCCTTGCAGGTCCACATATTTTCTAATATGTTGTAGAATGTATTTTAGTCAGCTGTATGCTACACAAGTGTGTTAGAGGCAATCTTTATTGTAAAACCGAATTATACAAAGATTTTTTTCTGAACACGTGCAGTGAATAATTGAGTGGTAGCCTACACGCGGTCTTTACTCGAATAGGCAACAAAAGACCTTGTCAAAACGTATGTTTAGTGGAACCAACAAATGTAATATATCCACAAGAACAGTCTTAGCCGTTCGTGAATAAAAAATAACTTTGAAAAAAAAAAATACAGCAAAAAGTGTGCTAAGAGCTAGCAAATGCTAGCGCTAGCCATGTGCTAGCGCTAGCAAAAAGCTAGCGCTAGCCTTGTGCTCAAACAGAAATGCAGAGGCAAATTCTACAACTGTAAGTTAATATTTTCTTTGGAGAGTAGTTACTTACTGATAGATGTAGATGGATGTCGCTTTGAGGTGTGTGCTGAGTCGAGTGCTCGTCTCCCCTCAGTTCACAGCAGCCTTGTGCGTGAAAGCAGAGAGTTCAAGCTGATCGCATGATCTGTCTCCTAGAACGCGGGAACCGGAAAAACACTGCCACCTTCTGGGTGGTGCTGTAAATGCAGCTGCAATCCAAAACCTTTTGAAATTATGCTGGATTAACGTAAATGATTCTTGCAAAATGTAACGTCCCGTATATCATGCTGAAACTACATAATATGAATTTGTTCAAGCACCAATATATAGTTATTTAGTTACAGCAACATGTTTGATTGTGGATAATTGAACATGCCCTCATGTTGGGTTTTTTGAGTGTAGAGAGGGGCGTGTGATCTGACTTATATAGAGGGATGCGATTGTGGCGAGGGGAAGAAAAAATTCTGGCTCTATAAGTTATGATGTAATAGATTTTAACATTTGACAATCACGTTTATCCAATTTGAGAGAAAAAAACATTTGAATGAAGTGGATGGATAAGTTGATACCGAGAGAACATGCCTAATGTTACCTTATAGGGATTTTTGAAAAAGATCAGATTCAGATTCATTTATTTGCCATTTTCAGTAAAACCACATTGGAATACATTTACAAAAGTCCCCAGTGTGCACCAGACAAGTAAAGAAAACAAGGAAAAATACAGACATAAGACAACCTAAAAATGTGCAGGAAACAATTGACGCAGTGAAATCGATCCACTAAAACAGTTTCACTCAAGGCAAGAATAATAAAGTGCTGTAAAAGCTGTAAAATCAAGCACAACTAATACAAGAATAGTGCTTTTATTACTGTAGGGTTTGTATAGTGGAATAATATATTGAGATCCGGATGCAGAGTTTATTTTTGAGAGCAAAACAAAACAAGAAAAAAAGCATTCAAGACTTTAAAACCATGAATTATCACGGTGCATCAAAAGAGCGAGCACAATCCTTCAGTTGTCAGCACAGATTAATACAACTGTTTCTCAATAAAGTTATGTTTTTGTTTACATCAACTTTGAATTGAACTTTTTTGACGTGATATCTGAATAACAAGTCTATATCTTTGTCATTATTTCAAATAAGGTTTTCTTTTGAGCATGAATGTGATTTAATAGTCAATGGTTAGGTCTTTAATAAGGAATAAACAGCTTGTTGTAGGTAAATGCCAAATAATTACACATTCAGTGAGTTTGCTTCAAATGATGCAATATCAACTGCTTGGTCGAAATAATGCAAAAGTGAAACAATGTGAGAAGCTTAGAAAGACGCTTGTGTGATTTTTTTTCTACACACATGGATGAGAATGACTTTGCTTTGTTATTAAACGCTATAGTGTGTCAGTTTTAGCAGGTGGTGTGACATGGGATTGTTTTCAATGAGTCATGGCTCAAAAAGGTTGGGGAACACTCCTCTGCTGATCCAATACTGTGTATTCTGTCAATCAGAATCATATTGTAAATTAACAGTTACATTAAGAACCTAGAATTCACAAAATATTGGAGTTTGCTTTGGCTCAATAAAGTATCTATCTATATCTAACTATATATATCTATCTATCTATAATAATAGATTTGGGACGAATAAAAGACCTTCCTCTTCTTCTATAAAAGTAAAAACTAGATTACGTTCTAATTCTAATATACAAATACACATTTAAGTATGTGCAGATGGTCACAGGCATGAGATTATAAGAATAGAAGCGAAACATTCAAATATACATGTACTTAGATTGTAGTTGCATGGATGTTTTATGGTGTCGCGTTGCTTTGGGGACAGCCGTGAGGGGCGTGGCCTGTGCTCTGGCCCCGCCTTCACTGTGAGCGCTCGTGCTTCAGGCTCGTGCTGCAAAAGGGCGCTCGATACAAACCAGAGAGACGCGTCCCCGGACAGAGGCTGAGCGAGGAGGCGACCTGAGGACTATGAGACTCACGTATGTGCTTTTAATTATTATTATTTATCCACTTTTTATCATTTATTATCTAGACTTTTGCATGAAGTGACGTGGCCTGGATATACAGCGCTGATTTTGTGATTGTTGGATACACGTGTGGAAAGACGTCAGATTTACGTCGCGCTATTTTGAGGCTAAAATAAAAAAAAAATGAGCAAGACAATATTTGTAGTTATTAAATTTGCGCATGATTTTATATGTGCACGTTTTGAGTCTATTCCAGAATATTACACGTGCTGTAAATAAAACACGTGACAAGTGCGGGCCCGGCAGCTTCCAAAATGTTGTTTTTGCTACAAACATGTACTAAATTTATCTTTAACACATGTTTTAACAGTATTTTGTTTCGTTAACCCAGATTTAGCATCATTTTAAAAGGCACGTTATGTTTGCTAATGTGTTTGTTTGTCCAGGGATGTTACATGGAGTACAGTCTAAAGCATAGTACAGTAGAATTGTGTAGAAAACATAAAATTGGGATATTTTTTTCTTATTTTTAATCTCAATAAATAGATATCTTGCTTCGATAAAGGAAAAACAAGGCCCACATCTCCACAGACCTTATTAGTGCAAACATGGCTTATTGCAGGCATGTCCAAGCTGTGGCCCGCGGACCAAATGCGGCCCCCAAACAGATATTTGTTGGCCCTCCAGATACTTTGAAAATAATTAAAACTTTGGGCCATTGTGTATATATTTTTATTAGATTTACTCATGTTTCACTGTCACTCATGCAGCCGCAGCAAAAAGTGATATATCAGGCATTTTTTATATAATTGCTGTTTTTCTCCTCTTTCATTTTTTTCTCTCCTTTCTTCACTCTTCTCCTCCTTCTCCCCTCCCCCTCTCCTCTTCGCTCCTCTCCCTCCTCCTCCTCTCCTCTCTACTCTCCTCTCCTCCCTTCTCTTTTCTTCTCTCCTCTCTCCTCCTCTCTTCTCCCTCATCCCTTCTCTCCATTGTCTCTCCTCTCTCTCCTCCCTGCACCTCTCCCGTCTCTCCCCTCTTCTCTCCTCTCCTCTCTCCTCCTCTCTCCTCTCCCTCATCTCTTCTCTCTCCTGTCTCTTCTCTCCTCCTCTTTTCTTCGCCCCTCTCTCTCCTCTTCTCTCCTCTTTCTTCTCCCCTCTCCTCTCCCTCATCTCTTCTCTCCCCTGTCTCTCCTCTCCTCTCTCCTCCTCTTTTCTTCTCCCGACTCTCCTCTCCTTCATCTCTTCTCTCCCCTATCTCTCCCCTCCTCTCCTCTCTCCGCCTCTTTTCTTCCCCCCTCTCTCCCCTCTCCTCTCCTTCATCTCTTCTCTCCACTGTCTCTCCTCTGCCTCCTCTCCCCCTCTCCGCTCTCCTATCCTCTCTACCCACCTATCTCCTCTCCTCTCCCTCCTCTTTCCCCTCTCCTCTCTCTCCTCTCCACACCTCTCCTGTCTCTCATCTCTCCTCTTCCCTCTCCCATTCCCTCTCCTCTCCTCCTCCTCTTTTCTTCTCTCCTCTCTCCCCTCTCCTCTCCCTCATCTCTTCTCTCCACGTCTCTCCTCTCTGCTACCCTCTACCCACCCATCTCCTCTCTCCTCTCCACACCTCTCCTGTCTCTCCTCTTCCCTCTCCTCTCTCTCTTCTCCTCCCTTAATCTCCACTATCCTCTCCTCTCAGCTCTCTTCTTATTGTTCTCCTCTCCCTCCTCTCTCCCCTCTGTCCCTTATCTTCACTCTCCTCCTCTATCTCCATTCACCTCTCCTCTCTTTTTTCCCCTCTTCTCTCCTCTCTCAACTACTCTCTCCTTTTGTCTTTCCCCTCTGCTCTGCTCTCCTCTCCCTTCTCCCTCCTCTCGCCTCTGCTCCCTCTTCTCTCCTCCTTCCTTCTCTTCTCTCTTCTATCTTATCACCCCTCTCTCCTCTCATCTCTCCTCCTCATTCCTCTTCTTTCCTCTCTCCTCACTCTTCTCATCTCCTCACAAGACGGGACAAGTAAGAGGAGACAAGTGAGAGAGGAGTGCCTCTTTTCCTCCTCTCACCCCTCTTCTCTCTACTCCCCTCTCTCTTTTCCTCTTATCCTTTCCTCTCTGCTCTCTTCTTTGTTCTCCTCTCCCTCCTGTCTCCCCTCGCTCCCTTCTCTTCTCTCTACTCCCCCCTCTCTCTTCTTCTATCTCCATTCACCTCTTCTCTCCTCTCTCCTCTCCTCCTCTCGTCTGTCCTCTATCCTCTACCCTCTCCTTTACTCTCTCCTTTTGTTTCCCCCCCTCTCCTCTCCCTCCTCTCCTGTCTCTTCTCTCCTCGCTCTTCTCCCTCCTCTTCTCTCTTCTCCCCCTCTCTTCTCTTCTACCTCCATTCACCTCTCCTCTCCCCTCTCCTCTCTTTGTTCTCCTCGGTCTCCTCTCTCCTAATCTTCTGTCCTCTCCTCTCTCCTCCCTCCTCTCTTCTCCTCCTCTGCTTCCTCTCTCCTTCCGCTCCTTTCTCCTCTTTCCTTTTATCCCCCTTCTCTTCCCTCCTCTCCTCGCTCTTCTCCCTTCTCCTCTCCTTCATCTCTCTCCTCTCCTCTCCTTCCGCACCTGTCCTCTCGCTCCTTTCTCTTCTTTCCTTTTCTCCCCCCTTCTCTTCCCTCCTCTCCTCTCTCCCCTCTCCTCTCCTCTCTCTTCTCCTTCCTCTCTCCTACCGCTCCTTTCTCCTTTCCTTTTCTCCCCCTTCTCTTCCTCCTCTCCTCGCTCTTCTCCTCTCCTCTCCTCTCTCCTCTAGCTCCTTTCTCCTCTTTCCTTTTCTCCCTTCTCTTCCCTCCTCTCTGCTCTCCTCTCCTCTCTCCTCTCTCCCTTCTCCTCTCTATAGTTTCTCATGTGGAATCTGTCGGTGTGTCTTTGAAGCCTCCGTGGACAATGGCCTGTCAGACCCATGTCTTGTTCCATTCCAGCCCCGTCTCCTTAATGAGAGGCGTCTGTGTGAGAAAGCCCTGAGTGTGTTCTTCTCACCACAGATCACGGATGAGTGGAGCTCCGCGGGACGGGGGCGCGCACCTCCTCCCCTCCAGCCAGGACAGGACCCTGCAGAGGAGAAGAGAGAGGGGGACATGGGAGAAGTGAAGTGTGGAGAAAATTGTGAGCACATTGTCACTATCAAAATTACGACATACTAGACCATGTTTGTGATCTAAATATAGGTCTTTGTCATCTAAACAAAGATAAAAGATTACATTTATTAAAGCAACTGAACGTCTATTTAAAAATATACATGTAGTTTTTAAAAGAAATGGTTGGTGTTCTGCTGGTGTTTACTTTGAGCCAAAAAATATATATTCAGAGATGGTTTGAAACAAAACAAATGTACGTCTACACAATAAGCAGCCAACCATAGCATCTATAGCTTTTGTTAACCCAAAAACATTGCTTCATTTAAATACAGACATTGCCCACGACTTCTAAAATTGTGTCACAAATAAGTTCCACTTTTGCAAAGAACCACAAAGGAGACGCTGTAATATGCAATTTCCTTTCATTTAATTAATTTGGTCGTCTCGGAGGATATTACAAAGTTGTCGACTCACCAACCAAGTCAAACAAATAGGGAGTGGGATGACCATTGTCCATAACTGTTCATAAATGTTCATAAATATATTCTTTCTAATACAGCTTAAACATATGCAGTAAAACTATAAAATGCTCATATTTGTCTGTTTGAATAAAGCGCTTTTCTCTCTTTGTCTCTGTTCTTTCATTTTTAAACTGCTAATAAAAAATCACGTTGTCTTGTCTCGTTCTTTTTTCTCTGCATTAAAACATGTGCCACTCTGAGCTCCCGTTTACAATCCGTTCCTTTGTTCCATTCTGACATGAACACTGTAGGTTTATCAGCTCCTTCCGTGCACGCGTCGATCCGCAGTCGTTGTCGCACGCGTCCGCCACCTGCTCCTTACAGATGGGCGTCACATTTGTTAATCCAGTCCATAATTCATAACGGTCTGTGGCTGCAGCGCGCGTGGCCCCAAAACGCACGCTCCATAAAAACTATACTATCATACAAGCGGTGGATGTAGGTTTCAGAATAAAAGCCTGTCATCATTTACATGCAGTGACATATTTATTTTTGTTTTAATTTATTGTGAAATGTTTTTGCACGGGTCGCTTGTCAGTGTTTGAATGTTCCCGCGCAGGAGGAGCAGATGTGTGTGGGACAAAAGACATGGGAATAATAGAGACTCATTTGAATAACTGCCGCATGAGGACGCGTGCAGGACATCTCTGGTTTTTCCCAGGCTCCAGGAGACGCAGCCGTTTTCAAATCTGCAGTCTCTGGTCAATGGGATGTAACTATATAGTCTGAGTATGAACCGTGAGGGGACTAAAGATTACAGGGTTGAAGCCAGGCGGTTTAGGGTTTGGGAGCATAATAAGGTTGTATTGGGATGCATGCATACAACCATCCTGCAATAAAGATTTAATAGTGTAACGGCAAAACCATGTTTGAATGAGTGAGATATAAGCCGTAGTTGAGTAATATGTATTTATAGTATACCAAAGATATACATGTTGTGGTATATGTCTATCAGTGGAACAACTAAGTCCCCAAATGTTATATCAAGCTAAACATGAGCTATATGTGCACTTTAGTAGAAGTGTGTATTCATTTATGTTTGTTTAGATGTGTGTCTGCTACTGGGCACATAAAGGCAGAACATCCAAATCCATTTTAGTCTATAGGTCTATGTGGACAATGCTCAATGAAAAAGTGCTTTAAACGACTTATATCATATGATATAAGATAATAATAATATGCCTGATGACATTTTAAACAGTGATGTAAATTCGTATCATATAGTGTTTTCTTACTCAATATAATCTGTTTTACAATGAACACTTAAATGTGCATGATAGTCCTTCTAAATGCCTGTGAACTCAAACACGTTCTTCGGATGGGAGTGAAGTGGCTCGTGCCGCCTTGTCCCATGGGAGCGGTACTCATGACCATCAGGGCGGTCCCAGACTCCCCGCGGTGGGACCTGCAGGGTCGGGGTGTCACTGACAGTTAAGATCTGCAACAGATGGTCTTGAAAGGCACGCGCCAGGCACGAGCCCCGGGTCTACATTACACCCCTCTCCTCCCCTCCCTCCCCTCTCTGGTCTCAGCGGAGAAATCCATGCTAATGAGGCACTTGTGACAGGAGGCGGCACGTTACTGCATATTTTAAATAACAATAAAGGAATAACACAGGTCAACCTCATTGTAAACAGCTAGTGTATGCGAAACTAATTCTTATTTTTGGGCACAAATAGACCTTTAGACATTTATTTTCTTATGGTACAATGAATCAGTTTGGTTGAAGCAAATCCTGCTGGATTCGTCTTCTATCAATGTTAGAAGTATAACGTACGTGATGTTATTCCTTATATAATGTAATATATATATTTTTATCTATAAGTCTTTGATTCAGACACATAAAAGGTCCATATAACACAAAAAACAGACAAGAAAAATACAATATTTACTAAATATTTATTTCTAAATTCAGTTTCTCAAATGCCTCCATAGTTCAGAAGTATATACACGACCGAATTCAGAAGGATGTACTATAAATAACATAAATCACAATTGCACACAATTTGACGGTGCAATTGTTGTCACTTCAAAGTGCGATTTAAAAGGGTGTGCGGAGAGTAGTCTGAATTGGGTTCTGGTGGTTACCACCTTATCCATCGTGCTCATTCGCCAGCCGCGGGAGATTACAACCCCATGCACAGCCACATCAGCTGGAGGAGCTCTAGTGCGCCCCCAGCGTCTCCTGTGAACACTGTGTATGAGTCCTGTGTCTGGTTCTCCCGCCCACCTGCATCAGGTGACGCCCTGCTAGAGCGACCATTGGCTCATGTCTCAGACCTTCCCCGAGGTGATTGGAGTGACGAGCACTCAGCATGTGACCTCTGCGATAAGCTTCCGCACACAGGAAGAGAGAGAGATGCAGCGCGCTTATGTACCAGTGGTTTACATAGAACAGGCTCACTCATGGTGCACAGCCGGACGAACGACCATAGACTGTAAACTATTGACTGTATTCTAGGAGATTGACTGTGTTTACAGACTAAATATATACACAGCAGTCTTACGTTCATCACACGTGCTCTCGTGGACATCAGATCAATGACTTCTGTAAGACTCTATGTCTATGATAAATCTCTAAACTTGTTCACTAAACTTCTCTGAAATATAGAGAAACTGTAAAGTATTTCACTTCTAGATGGGTTTAAATGTACTCATGGTAAACATGAACAATATATTGTGTAATCCCGTGTTTCTCCCATGCATAAAAACCATGAGCGAGGTAACGTTGCCCCATGCGCCCTATATCAACTCCCTGTCTGCCTGTTTACTATAGGGCACTCGGAAGTCTTGCAGTCTGGGCTACTCTCGGGTACCTGGTTACCCTCTTCGCCCAGGGGAAAGTCCCCGGACACGCGGTCGAAAGTGCTCCGGCTGAAGCCGGTGTTGACTGGAGCCTCGTCAGTATCAGCGGAGACGCTCTGGGAGCGGAGCGGAGCTGGGCGTTCTCCAGTCAACTTTGTCAGCGGTGATAGATATGCAAGAAGCGCTCTGAGCGTAACACAACGGGGCTCATTCTCTGCGTGCCTGCCTTTTTACAGCAGGAAGTTACATCATGGATACATTCAATATTCAAGTAGGAATAGATTTCCTTTTAACAGCCAGTCTTTTCTGTTGGTTTTCAGACAGAAAAGTGAAAAAGATCCACCCTCACTCAGACAATCAGCAAAAGATAGCAAAGTGTCTTGTAAGATGTAGTCTGATGTGTTCACGGAATGTGATGTAAACAAGTTAGTATTCCAGTTTTAAGTTTTTTCAATTCCCTGGAGCCGTTTGAGTACATTGTTTTTTCAAGAATACAAAGATGAACTCGTTATAAACGTGGGTCTGTTAGTAACAATTAAAGTAATTCAAGTTATTGAATATCAATGTTATTTTGTTTTTCCATCGTTTACTATTTTTTCACAAAAATAAAATGCATTTATGATAAATTAGTTTTTAATCTTGAAACAATGAAAAAATCTGGACAAATACATTCCATTGTCATAACTGTCATTATATCATAACTGCTGTGATAGCACTTTACTGATTTCCTCTGCCTGACTTTCAGGTGTGCTTATTGCCCTCCCCTGTCCCCTCTGGACACTACATGCACTGGACAGGACAGTCCCGGACAAACTTAACTCTGGGACCAGACCTCAAAGCATCAGGGCAGCAGCTTTTCACACAAACATGACACAAATCTCAATATGGTCCAAACGAACAGAACTAGACATTGGACAATAACGGCAGAAGTATTTGTATATTTGCTCTCAAATATGGTTGAGTAGTTTCCCAGGTCATAAAAGACGATTTAATTTAAATGTGAGAGTTGTAATGTCTATTTAGGACACAGGGGGTCACTGGATCACAGTCGTCCCGATCACAGGTGGAGACCTACATTAGAAAGTTGTGAAAAACAAACAACTGACTTTGAAAATACATCTCTGGTGTAAAAACCACAGCCTGATAATGAAACATGCATGGCCCGGTCAGTCCAGCCGCAGCCACACAGTGCCATTTACTTAATGTGTAATGTGTTTGTTATTATTTACGTATTTATGTGGTATAATGTACCTCTTCTGGCATTTGAACAGTCAAAACAGTTGAAAATGAAAAATACAGAAAATATGTTGCATAAACATGAGGCTATAACCCCAACCCAACATATTACACACTATATCTTAAATGTCCACTTAGGGCTGAAACAACTAATCGATTAATCGACGACTAATCGATTATTGAAATAGTCGACAACTATTTTAGTAATCGATTAATCGTTTTCTGGTTCACACGGACTCAAACAGAGCAAAATGACATGAAAATGTAGTATTTTTGATTAAAACAGACTTTGTTTTTATAATTTCATGAATATCTGTCTGTCTCATCCAATCAGATAGCAGAATTAGCACAAAGAGCCTGTTACAAACATTTACTTTAAGTTTACGCCATTTTTTCTACACAATTCACAGCCAAGCGATTACTCGATTAATCGTAAAAATAATCAATAGATTAATCGATTACAAAATAATCGTTAGTTGCAGCTCTATTTCCACAACAACTTTCAGAGCAGTCAAATTGACGGCTTTTAGATTTGGAAACTTAATTACTTTCTTTGTCATTAGTATTAATACAAACTTTTGTTTTTGAGGAGTACCATTAACTCCCTTAGCAGTCATTTTGACTGCACAATTCAATTCGGGCGTTCTGCTCTCCCAAAATTCCATCCGATGGGCGGGGGAGCGACTGAATTTTGCGTTGCATTATGGGTAACACTTGCCTTCGCAACTTCCGGTTCTCTCTGCCCGGCGCATTTTCTCTAAATGGTTGAGCGTTTTCGTCATTTTCTGTATGCAAATACATTCCCGTCTCTAACTAGTGGCATATCGCGCAAATCATCCGTCCAATTCACATTCTTCCCTCTTAGCTGAACTTCATTCTCATTGTTACCATCTGTCACTCGCACACACAGCCGTTTTCGTTCACTCTGCTCGCTGTCATCTTCTTCTAAATCTTCATAAACACCATCCGCTCGTTGAACTAGCAACAACAATTCCTCCTTTCGTTTTCCCACACTGCAAATACCCTTTCGCTTCAACCTTTCACGCAATTCAGGCACTGTCAATCGTTTGTTGTTTTCGTGAGCCATATTCGCCATTGTATGAAATCAACCGGAAGTGAACTGGGCAACAAACGGTGTCATTTTTTGATCACAGCGCCGCTCAGTGGATGAAATTTTTGGAGAGCAGAACGCCCGAATTGAATGTACATTTTCGGTCGCTTGGCAACCAACATTCTATGACAAATAAAAAGACCCTTTTCTTCAAGGTGCTGGTCCTGGACTAGTCCTGAGTCTGACCCATCCATCCATCCATCCATTTTCTTCCCCTTAATCCATTTTCTGGGTCGGGGGGGGGGGGGTCAGTCAGCTTAAAAGTTTAAAACAGATGGACAACAAACTCACTTATTTTAATTTTTTTCCAAAATCCTTTTCTTTTTTAATGGCAACCGTCAAAGTGACTGCTCTGGAAGTTCTAACTCAAGTAGTTTCAAAATTCTGGGAGTCCATAATGCTAAACGATATTACAGAACCATCAAACACCTGTTTGTTTGGGATATGCACAGAGATAAGTTTAGTCCGCTGGTCTGGGAACTTTTGCTGGGAGGGGGAGAAAGGGGCGGGGCTAGGGCCCCTAAACACGTGATCCGATTTGAAGAGAGCAACAACCTGCTGCTGCTCACTGATCCTCCCCCTGATGGATTATTGAACAGCCTCAGTCCCATGTTGCCATCTGCCACAGGAACTTGTGAAGATCCAAAACGGGCTATACTTTGTCAAAGTTGAAGCTCAGAGGAACAGTGAGAGAGTGAGAGAGTCTGGTCCTGTGCGCGGCTCGTGTCTTCAACAGAGAGGACTTACTGCTAAACATGTAAGAATTTATTTATGGTGCACACTGAAGTCATGCGCGCTGCTCCCGCTCCCCTCCTGAAGCGCAGTCTGACCGGGACCATGGCGCCTTCTCTCCGCTGAGTGCGCCCGGTGCAGAGTGATCCTGATGGTGGCCGAGGGGGACCGGAGCCTTCTGGCCGCGCGTCAGGGGGACGTGCAGGCGCTCAAGACTGGGCTCGCGGCCGGAGAGCTCACGCCGGAGGTGAAGGACTCTCTGGGGGCCACTCCAGTGCATCACGCCGCCCGCTGCGGGAGGTTAAGCTGTCTGCGCTTCTTGGTGGAGGAGGCTGCGCTGCCCGGGAACTCTCTGGCCAACAACGGAGCCAGCCCGGCGCACGACGCAGCGGCCACCGGACACCTGGCGTGTCTCCAGTGGCTGCTGACCCAGGGAGGATGCTGCCCAGAGGTGAGTGAGCGGGGTAATCCCCTTTCTCCTGACGCTGATGTTTCCCAGAGCTGTCCTGTCCCTCATAGAGCCAATGTATCATAAAGATTAAGCAATTAGCTACTCGCAGTATATCGAGATGGTTCGCCCACTATTAAAGCTGGGGTACATAACTTTCAAACCATGTGAACTAAAACTATGTAATAACATCTAGTTCCAGGCTACAGAATAGTTTGGTTCACATGCATGTGTTTTTGGTCTTTCTCACATCTTAAGATGTGCTCTCAGCTCAAAGAGTCAAATAGTGAGTCACAAGGCTTTTTCCTTCAAGTACAGGCTGTAGTAATGATCATTTGTTTACTCATAACATCAGGTTAACACGCAGGGCCGTACACAGGGCTTTTGAATACAAAGGTGTATAGTAGATTATACTGGGTATTCCATGAGAGACTCCCTAAATGTCAGCACATACATTGGGTCTTGACTTCTATTAAGCAGACTTTTGATTGACCAAAAATGACTTAAATTCATTAAAAAAACATAGAGGCTCTGAACTTGTGAACATCCATGCTACATGTTGTGGTCGGATTTATTCACAACATTTTTGTTTCTCTTTAACTTTTTCTGGGACAAACAACTTGTGCTATTTATGAGACAGAAAGTTAGGTACCCCAGCTTTAATGAGGATTATTCTGGTTGTTAAAGGTGCCATGTGCCGAGCAGGAAATGCATTCCAAACTTTATCAAGAGCTCTTTAAGCCTTTTCGGTCACAGTTCAGGGTGGATGACTGTTTGTAGCGGGGTGGCGCAGTGGTTAGCGCTTATGCGTCTCAGCAAGAAGGTCCTGGGTTTGATTCCACCTCCAAGTCTTTCTGTATGGAGTTTGCATGTTCTCCCCGTGTCTGCGTACAGTAGGTTTCCCCTGCCACTACAAACTTGAACAATTGGTCTGACAAATTCCTACAGCAATTGTGAAGCGCTTTGTTACGGAAGCTTGTTAGGTTCACTTGTGGTTGGGTTTTTTTCTCGCTGGTATCATGTTATTTCATGATACTTTCATGAAATAACATGATAAATATCATGTTATTTCATGATACACAACTATCATGTTATTTCATGATACCAATTTATCATGAAATTTCATGATACCAATTTATCATGTTATTTCATGATACCAATTTATCATGTTATTTCATGATACCAATTTATCATGTTATTTCATGATACCAATTTATCATGTTATTTCATGATACCAGTTTATCATGTTATTTCATGATACCAGTTTATCATGTTATTTCATGATACCAGTTTATCATGTTATTTCATGATACCAGTTTATCATGAAATAACATGATAAACTGGTATAATGAAATAACATGATAAACTGGTATCATGAAATAACATGATAAACTGGTATCATGAAATAACATGATAAATTGGTATCATGAAATAACATGATAGTTGTGTATCATGAAATAACATGATATTTATCATGTTATTTCATGAAAGTATCATGAAATAACATGATACCAGCGAGAAAAAAAACACACTCACAAGTGAACCTAACAAGCTTCCGTACTTTGTGACTCTGGTCTGTGAAAGGCGCTATATAAATAAAGATTACTTACTAACAGATGAAACTCAGAAAACAAGTTCATTTATTTCTGTTATCCATCTTAAAAATATGTAACCAATATTATACAACATAGACTCATTACAGCAAAGTGACAAATGCCAAATCTTTGTTATAATGAGATGATTATGACTTAGAGTTGATGATTATGACATAGTTTTGTAATTTTCTGTGATATTTTAATTTTGTTTTAGCTTTTAGTTTTAAGCTGTGAGCCAATTATCAACAATAACAAATATAGGCTTGATATATCTCACTTTGCGTTTATGATTCATATATTGGTTTCACATTTCAAGATTAATTACAGAAGTAAATTAACTATTAAACGATATTCTAGTGTTTTGAGATCTGAGTGTAAACGTGGACACATTGCAGACTGTGGCAGAAACAACACATAAACATATTACAAACATATTTTTGTGAAAAACATATCGCCTGTTGATCTCCGCTCTCGTGCCATTTTTCCATGTCCATAAACAATGCAAATGATCCCGCCACTCTATAGTGCCACAGCCTCCCGATGGGACACGGTGTACCTATAAGGGGAAAACACTCTTAGTCAGAGTTCATTATGCATTAAGCTTCATTACAGCCTCCTCACCTGGGACAGACTTCAGTGTATGTGCTAAAAATCTGCACAAACTAACCCATCTTTCATCGACCTAGAGATTCAAACTGTAAGCAAGGGTAAAGCACAAACTCCTGCTTGAACAGAACAAATAGAGTCAATAGGCCACTCGATCTGAGCGCAGGTAAGTGACTAGTGTACCTTTAAGACACGTGTAATAAGAGCTTGTACTGTCTCCATTACTTTTGATAGCTGTGTGAAGAGTGACAAGGGCTCATGATGCTCTAAGAAACAAGGGGAGATTATAGGAACAAGTCTACATGTGGAGTCGCCAAAGTCTACATGTGGAGTCGCCAAAGTCTATTATGGAGTCCCCAAAGTCTATTATGGAGTCCCCAAAGTCTACATGTGGAGTCCCCAAAGTCTACATGTGGAGTCCCCAAAGTCTACATGTGGAGTCGCCAAAGTCTACATGTGGAGTCCCCAAAGTCTACATGTGGAGTCGCCAAAGTCTACATGTGGAGTCCCCAAAGTCTACATGTGGAGTCCCCAAAGTCTACATGTGGAGTCCCCAAAGTCTACATGTGGAGTCTTCGAAGTCTACATATAGAGTTTCCAAAGTCTACACGTGGAGTCCCCAAAGTCTATATATGACAGGCCCCAAAGTCTTCATATGGAGGCCCCAAACTTAACATTTATGAAGTCCCCAAAGTCTACATGTGGAGTCGCCAAAGTCTACATGTGGAGTCGCCAAAGTCTACATGTGGAGTCGCCAAAGTCTACATGTGGGGTCGCCAAAGTCTACATGTGGAGTCGCCAAAGTCTACATGTGGGGTTGCCAAAGTCTACATGTGGAGTCGCCAAAGTCTACATGTGGAGTCGCCAAAGTCTACATGTGGAGTCTTCCAAGTCTACATATGGAGTTTCCAAAGTCTACATGTGGAGTCTTCCAAGTCTACATATGGAGTTTCCAAAGTCTACACGTGGAGTCCTCAAAGTCTATATATGACAGGCCCCAAAGTCTTCATATGGAGGCCCCAAACTTTACATATATGGAGTCTCCAAAGTCTACATGTGGAGTTTTCGAATTATCGATTATACCATGAATAATCGCCACGGTGCTAGTAGCTTCGGCCTTCAGATAACCAAAACATCAAGTGGAAATTCACTGGCTTGTGCATACTAACGGTTTGTTCGGCTTTAACCACAGTTGCTTAAAAAGTGTTAAAAGGGATCCATAGATCTATATATGGAGTCCTCAAAGTCTATTGTACATTGAAACTGTTCTCTAGGTCGTGGCTGACATTTGGCTCAGTGGAAGAAGGTTCTATAAATAAACATTACTTACTTACTACTTACTTCTAAAACTACACATCAGTCACAGAGGAACAATACCTAACATTATTAATCTATCAATCAAGATGTTGATTTCAGAACATGAACAACACAAATCCAAACAAAAAACATACATTTGTAGATTTTATGAAAAGGGGTGGGATGAAGCAGACACTTAAAACATTTCTACCCCCCTCACTCATTCAACTCACCCAATACAATGGGAAAAACAAATATGTTTTAAAACAACAACAAAAACAACAGTAGAAAAGTAGTACAATACAACGATATATTAGGTCCAAACACTCTCTGACCCGACACCTCTCCCCCACTGCCCGCTCTGTGCTGAAGCCATCTCTCGCTCTCTCCTGCAGCTTCTTTTAAAATAGTTTCTTGAACACAGTCGAGTTTGAACAAAATCTCCTAATCTGTTCCATGAGATAATCCATGTAACAAGAGTCAACAACAAGAGTTACCATCACTGTTTGGTCTGTGGTGCTTTTTCCCTTTAAAACTTGTCCTTATGACCAGAACTAGGGCCAACGGGGACTAAAGAAGGACCTGGTACCTGGTAAGCAGGGCTGCTGAAAATCTGGGTCTTGAGGATCCGAGTAGAGAAAGAGTAGGTTTGGTGGAAACGGGGCTTCTACACCTGTTAACCCTCATGTCTGTATCACTGCCTGCACTGATCTGTTTTCTGTGATGTTAACTGTGATGTCTGGTGGACAGGGTAAGGACAGCTCAGGGGCCACCGTCCTGCACCTGGCAGCCCGCTTCAGTCACTCTGAGATCACAGAGTGGCTGCTGAAGAGTGGGGAGGGGGACCCCGGGGCCACCACAGAAACAGGGGCCCTTCCACTTCACTACGCCGCTGCCAAGGGAGACCTGGCCTCACTCCGCCTGCTGCTGGGACACAGCCCAAAGTAAGACACCGCACTGGCTCTGAGCCTCAGGAGAAACGTGGACAATTATCTCTCAAAACTTCATTTATTTCTGTAATTCAACTTAAAGTATGAAGGCAAGGCCAATTTATTTACAAGGCACTATTCATGCAGAAGCAACTCAGGGTGCGTAACAGGCACAGAAAGGACAGTGAGAAACAATAACACATATTAGTAATAAAAATATATAGAATTCGAGAAATGTATATGTGTATGTAATGTATATGAATATTAGTATTTATATGTATATAAACATATACACACATAAACATACATGTACATACATCAGTAATAGTTGATGCAGACTCCTTACACCCAAAGTAGCATTTGTCAAGCCTTTGTTTGTTCTAATGTCGGCGATTATGGCAACATTTACATGTGGATCAGATCATAAGACAAACATTTGTTTGATTTCCACTAATTTGCGTGTTTTCATTTGTCATTTTTGTGTTAGCATCGTCCATCACTATACAGGTGACGGTTTTGGCTAACAGTCCATTTTCAGATTATTATATGTTATAATTGGGGTTGGTTTCTCTCACTTTCTGTGTAATGAGTCGTCGTTAGTAGAATTACAAAAGTAGCGATATTCTAATTATCCGAGTTTGACCTGTTCAGTTCTGCCGCACACTTGTCTTTTCAGGCTTTGACTTGTGAACAGATGAAAACACATAAAATAGTTCTATATAATTCTGTACCTGATTTAACACGTAACTATATGTCATCAAATCCATCTCACTAGTTCCAGCTCTAAAAACATTTCTATCACTAGTTTTCACATGTATGTACTCTTGGCCTCTTTCACATCTTTTCAGACAGAAAAGTGGCAAAGAGTGGACCGCCCTCTCTCAGCCAATCAGCTCTCAGCGCAGAGCATCAAATAGTGAAACTCAGAAGTACTGTAACCTTTGCCATATACTTTATATAAACCATTATATAATAGTACAACAGTATTCCTAAGATCCCTTACAAAGTGCCATGGTCGTCTATTCACAACATTGTGTGTGTGTCGTACTTGGCAACTACTTTATTTAGTCACTTTTATGTATTTAATTTTTATTTTGTAACTTGTACAAAAGGGGCAACTTGTTACTCCTGCCCCATGTGTAATATTCTTCTGGGGCCATGAAAAATTATATTGTATAGCTTCTTTACACTCTTTGTATTAAAACAATCTTATACAATTTTAATTAAAAAAACTGTTATCTCAATATAAACAATGCATATTTATAACAAAAATAAATAACTAAATAAATAATACCATTGCGTTATATGCATTTAAAGCCACAGTGCGCCACTTTCCAGAGGAGGGATGATGAACCGCACAATTTCAAAGTCAGTTTTTGGCTGTAGATAGTTTGTTGCTGGAGATTGGGAGTGAAATTGGATCTCTCTGGACATGTTTTCAATATTGGTCATTAAGCAGCCGTTTGTAATCCAAGCAGGTTTCGCTGAGGACACTGAGACGCCTGACTTTGTGGGAGGCGTTTACAGTGTAGAGGTCAATAGTGATCAGAAAAACACAGTCCATGTCCAACTGGAAATCCCTGAGGCTGTGTTTAGTGGATTGACTGGGGCTGTGATAGGATAGCACTCTCGCTTCTCAGCAAGAAGGTCCTGGGTTCGAATCCCGGTCGGGACAGGGACTTTCTGAGTCGAGTTTGTATGTTCTCCCTGTGTCTGCGTAGGTTTCCTCCGGGTGCTCCTCTTTCCCCTACGACTAAAAACATGCACAATAGGTCTGTGTGGAGTTAGAGGACAAATGCCCACAATAGTAAAGCGCTTTGTGACTCTAGTCTGTGAAAAGATTACTTACTGAAATCTAGTTAAAGCTGCACTAACTGACTTTATTTTTGTATTCATTACTAAAATGATATCCATGTCCATGTAGTGCATTGGGATAAACATCCTTTTGAAGAAAAACTAGCGCAGATTTGTGCTGCCGTGACATTATATTTTAGATCGAGTTTTGATGAAACAAGGAAGAGAATGTGTTCCGGGTCGCAGATTGTGACCAATCACAGCGAACCACTAGCCCCCACTTTCGTGAGAAATCTACAGGTCCGTTAGCATAGACGGCTGAGTTAGCACAAGAAGCTGTGGAGCTAACCTGAAGCTTCGTGTGTCTTCGTCACCGGTTACTGCTTACACAGCGAGACAGCCATCCAAAAGAAAGTCCCGTTCCTCTGCGCTTCCCGGTTCTATCGTTCTATGGTCACGCCATCCACGTGCAAATCCATATCCATATATTATCCATATTGGGAGACACTAGCTCCGTCAACAACAGTGAGTGTGTGTGGGGGGCGATAGCTTCGTGGGTGCGGGGAGGGGAGCAGAAAGAGCGAGGCCAGCGAGTCCACGGCTTCAAAATCCCAAAGTCAGTTAGTGCAGCTTTAAATACTGATATAGATACAAGATAATTTTTCAATATCGCAATTTAAATGTTTACTTGTAGTATTGTTTCGGTGTAGTAATATTGTTTTTTATAGTAATATTGTTTTTTATAGTAATATCGTTTTTTTATAGTAATATTGTTTTTTGTCGTAATATTGCTGTTTTTAGCGATATCCATAATTTAATATTTTTCAGTCATTTGGATTTTATATATAATTTTATATATTTTTGTAAGATACCCAGCCCTGAGTGACACAATTTAAGTTGTTTTCAGAACTGCGAGCTCCTTGTTGTCCTTGCGTGGTCCACGTCTCTCGACAGGGTGTGTTCTTTCTCTTGTTCCTTACGTAAACGAGGCTGATTTCCATAAGACCAACATCAAACCAAAACAAAACCTTCTCTGTGTATTTAAAACAGCGTTGTCTGAGCCACTCTCGCCTTTTAAGGTCATAGAATCATACCTTTGTGTTAGCATGGAGCTATCGGGCCGAGCAGAGCGCAGAGGGGCCCGGGCTCCGGAGATAAGTGACCGCTATTGAACAAGTCGTTAGAGAGAGTGAGACCTGTGCCAGCTTTTGTTTTACGGAACTGGCTGGGTGCGATACGGACAAATCAAAAGGATCAATCGTTCATCTTTATGAGGAATAAGGCAGATACAGAAAAAAACTGTAGGGAGTAGTCAGTTCTGCACTAGGACTGTAAACTTTGGACTACGATAGACATTTTGTGTATGTTAATTGCTCAAAACATACCTTTATTGCAGAAGAGATACTCTCTATCTTTGCACTTTTCCTGTCTTTTTTCACATTTCTCCAGTGTGAGATCAATAAAGTTTTATCTTAGCTTATCTTCTGCTAGTCTAATAATTCTGTGCTTTTACCACTTAGACTCCCACAATTAAGAAAATACACCATACTTGATTTTCCAGAGCCATTATTTTGACTGTTCTCATTCAATCCAATAGAATTCTGAGAAATTGCCAAAAAATGTTTATTTCTTTCAACAGATGTATTAAAAGTAAGTAATTTGTAAGGTTCTTTTCCTTTCACTCACTTTTTGGTGCTGGTACTGGTTCTACTCTGGGAGGTAAAAGTAAAACTACTCTCATTGTAAAATAAAAGATAATTTCACACACATTAATGACATAGATATAAACTACATATTTAAAAAGAAAAGGTCACAAAGACCAAAAATGTACATATGTTAAGTACATTACACTCGGGAGTTCTAGTGTTAAATGTTGCATAGATGAGGAATCTACAGATACGATCAGAAAAGAAAACAGAACGTGATCAGGGTTGTAGGTGTGATTCTGGCTGCCTCAGGTGAATACTGAAGACCTTTTATTGTTGGTAAATGACACAAACAGGGTTTGTGTCAGGTAGCCTGGGATCCTGGGAGCTAGAGCCCTGCACTTGAGCCCTTGGCCCGAGGGCCCCGACGGCCCGACAGCCCGAGGGCCGGGCTTCGGGCCGATGACCGCATAATGACCTCGGACACGGGCCGGGCTCGGGCTCTTCATTTTCAGAGCGGCAGAATAGATTTACGAGCGCACCCACTGAATATAGCGTTCTATCACGCTGTAGTGTTTGTTGTTCTGTGTAGTGTTGTCATTGACGGCACATAGCATTACTTATGTAATGTGCAGATGTGTTGCAGCATCGGGGGCATCATACAGATGCGGCCGTTCACTCTGCACCACTCCGCACACACAGAACTCATTGCAACACATCACTACCATGTATAACTCCGCCCTCTAGCTAAGTCTGCGTTCATATCAGTGCGCGGCACTATATACTACGCTAAAACATTGTTATGGGAGTTTACAAAAAAAAATAAAGGCGGGCTTGATGCGGGTTTTGGGCCTGAAAATTCAGAAACCATATCGGGCCGGGCCGGGCTGGGGCGCCACCCCCTCGGGCCAGGGCCGGGCTCGGGCCCAGATAATAGGCCCGTGCAGGGCTCTACTGGGAGCCATGGATCTGGCTCTACCAGATCCATGTAGTTCCGCCATGCTCCACCAGAGGTGTTTGGCTGAGCCACATTGGTCTGGGACTCTTTGATAGGAGTTGGATTTCTGAATGACGTCTGCTTTCAACCACTCACATCGAAGCACACGACTCCCATAGGTTGCCAAATGCCGGCAAGATTTTTCAGCCCAAAATCCGCGAAAATGCCCAAAAAAAATAAACACTAAAAACGTAATGTAATCAACTTGGGCTATCATGATTCTGTTTATTGTCATTCTGTTTATTTATTACCTACAAGTCTCTTGGAAAAAGTATGCGGGAAACCACCCTACCTGGCAACCCCGCTTCATAGTGTTGTAACAGGAACCCCTACCCCAGTGCTTAAACCAAACTTTACAGGAACATTTGACTCTTAAAACACACTTATATCAACATAGAACCATCTTGCATTAAAAATGACATCCGTGTCTTAATTTGTTCGTATTTAAACTTTTAAAAAGGTCCGCCATCTTGGATTCCTTTTTGTGTCAGACACGCACAAGAAGGCAGTGCAAACCCGACGTAACACCGGTGATCCTGATTGGTCGATTATTTTCTGATCTGCAGAAGGAGTTTGGT